TATGGATGTTAAATCAGAATCACTTTTAGTAAAAAGAAAGAAGAAGAACTGGATAGGATCCGAATGTTTGAAGAAAAGCTTTTGCAGTAGTCACAGTGCTGACAATCTAGCTTTATCATAGAACCAAAATTTATGGGCAATGATATAATACACTCATGTAGACTTAAAGTCTAAATATAAAAGATGAGTTCTATGTTTTAGGTGGTGATTCCAGTGACAGCCAACAGTAGCCGCCAGCCTGAGTGGTACCGCATGCACACCACCAAAAACTGTGCAGATGACCTTAAAATCAAGATAGCAGTCAGGATGGACAAACCACAGAACATGAAGCATTGTGGGTAAGGCGCAGTTATATTAGTAACTAATATGATTATTTGCTTAACATGAAGCATTGTAGTTAAGGCACAGTAATCCTGTATTTAATGTGCTTATGTGCATGAGACAGGCAAATATTGCTAGGATCAAGGGTTTTCATCATAAAAGAGGAGATTGTCAACAATATTATTTAAGTCTAAAAGATCATGATTTGAAAAAAAATGATAACTTGTGTTGAATTAATTTTAAAATGTCATTTATTATTTCTGATATTAATATTTATTATCCACAGACAACACAAGTTCTTTAAACACTACTTTCATTTATTTCACAGATATTTATATGGAATTGGAAAGAAAGTATGGAAGAAATACAAGAAAAGATACTTCGTTTTGGTGCAGGTTGGTTTTTTTTAAATGGAAAATCTTACCCATCATAAAGATTCTTAGGAAAAAGCATTAATAGGTACTATTAGTCAATTACAACTCAAAAACTTTTATTTGATTTCTGTGTAAAATATGAAAAATATTCTGTCAAAGGCAGTAGAACTTCTGAGTTTTATTACATGTTAATGCATGTATTTAAGTTACAGATAGCATCCTTTATCTATTTGTTAAAAGCAACAGGTTTTGAATCTGTAACCCCTTTAGGAGTGAAAGTGGATGCAGAAACCTATGTTTTGTGATGCAAAAATACAACTTGATTGCTTCACCATATGATAAACTTTAATTTTTATTTTCTGAAATTTGTCACTATTAAGCTATTACAGTAATAAATCTAAAATTCAGGTGTCCCAGTACACATTTGCCATGTGTAGCTACAGAGAGAAAAAACCAGATCCCACAGAGATGATGCAGCTTGACGGATTTACAGTGGATTACTGTGAACAAATTCCAGGTTAGTCTCTTATATATAATCTATAAATGCAGTAAAACTTGTTTATAGCAATAATGCATGTAAACAGGGGAAACCTGCATTCAGTGAAGTCATATTTTTGTCATGAAACACTACAAAGTACAGAATGATAATGATCTGGTTGTAAAGACAAATGGATTTAACAAAACATATTTGGGATTCCCTACGCTTTCCCTGTAACCTTGGTAACTGTAGGTAACATTTTAAAGGGGTAACTCTTGATGGCTCAAACTTCGATCTCTTGAAATTCTAGATCGCTCAAAGGGAGTCTTTGGTCCCGATTTTTTTCACTATATAACAAAGCAAATTTACTCAATCCCTCGAACTCTCAATCTTGAAACCCTTGATTCCTCAAAGTCAAAATGCAGTCCGCTACCATGCATAATCTATTGTAATTTACCCTCGATACCTCGAAGTGGCTACATGTATGCAAGTGTCACATAATTAACACCTTTACCTGAACATTTAAATGGCCTTAGGCATTAGATGCGGGACCAAGGAACGGAGTGTTTATTCAGGTGACACTTGTACTGCAAGGTGATAATTCATTGATATACAAATATAATTAATCATATTGTTGCCTGTCTACTCTTAAAATAATTTAACATCAACAGTTTTATGATAATTTGGAGACACAGTGAAAAGTATAGAAATTGATTATGAGATGAGACAATTTTGAGTCAGTGTCAAAGTCAAATGAATGATAAAAGTGCAGAAACTATGCTTAACAACAACAATGTCAGTATGATGACTATTGCAAAACAAATACATACAGGACTGTGTTTGATGTTTGATATCTATGTGCGCCTTCAGAGAGTCTTCCTTGTTTTTTTTTCCTCTGGAGCCCATGTTAAAGCAATTTTCGTTTTCATCTGGTGTCTCTTCAGAGAATATGGCCTATCCATTTCCATCATCTCACTTTGATTGTTGTGGATAGTGGGATGGTTCTTTCAAATTTAAAGATCAATTTTATTACAATTTTATGACAATTATGCATTATTTGTTTTTGTGGAACAGAAGCTGAGGGCTTAGGAGGGAAATATTTCTTCAACTGTGTCAAGGAAGGAGACAATGTGACATTTGCCACAGACGATGAAAATGAAAGGACACTTTGGGTACAGGCTATTTATAGAGCAACGGGGCAAACACATAAACCAGTGCCCCCTGTTGTACAGACTAATAAAATATCCAACACTCAGATCTCTCGGATGCAGGGAGGTAAGTTAACTTTTGTGATAGGGGAAATAAGATTATACAGTAAAACTTGTCTAATTCGGATGTTTTGTATTCTGAAATCCCATCTATTATGACGTTTAACTTCAATTAAAAATGTCTAACCTGGAATGTTGTCTAATCTTGCCAATTCCAATGGAAACACTGGTGTCCAGATTAGACAAGTTTTACGGTATATTTGATATAAGAAAACTTGGAAGAAGAATTTTTAAAGGGATTGCAATATTTTTATTTTGTCTAAGTCATGTGAACAGCTCACCTGAATGTATCTTCACAATATCACAGCCTAATACTCATCTTAAGCTTAAGATTTCAGTAAAATTCCAAGTTACATGTACCTCAGAATTACACAAAAGATATATAGAAGAAACCATGGAAGAATCTACCAGTACATATATTTGCTCAACTTAAATACAATTCAAAGTGTGGTTGGAGTAATTTTTTAAATCTCCATTGTAGATGCTGACAGAGCTAGAAAGCATGGTCTAGATGAGTTTGTTCAGGCCAATCCTGTTATGTTTGACCACCATGATCTGTTTGCCATGCTTCAAACTCTGACACTGGACTATCGACTCAATGATGCTTACACATGTCTGGTAAATAATGAATATAACACAAGTTAATGATACCTTGGTAGACATTTTTTGTGGTTCTTCTATGAGAAAAAAAGTCTTTGTATGTAATATTGTTCACTAGGTGAGTTTCAGTATGAAACCCAAATATCAAATGTTCTGTTTAAAAAATGATTGATGTTTAAGATACGAAGGAAACATGATAATTACAAGAAAATTGTTACTCTAAAAGAAAAAAAATTCAATAAGTGATAGCATATCGGTTCTGTTAGTTTACAGGTTGATTTAATTGTGAATCAGTGTTTTTAATGGATGAGAAATGTTTTAATGTTTGTTCAAGGGATAGTAAAATGTAGGTTTGGTGATTGTTTACAGTATTTCAGTCTTTGTTACAAGGTTGGTTAACTCATTAGAGTACTGCTCTGTGGATGCAGCATGATGATCAGTCTGTCCAGCTATTCATGTCTGTCCATCCATCTGTCAGTCTAATATCACTTGTCCAGAATATATTTTCTCTTTCTTGGCCATTTATGGCTTAAAGTTTAGTCATTAGAGTGTTGCTGGTAAAGGGTGTGTAGTGACCTTGATCCAATGTTCTTAATGTTCTTAAAGGTCAAGGTCGGAAAACATCTCTTGTGTAAAATCCTTGTTTGTACCATATTTTCTGTCCCCTTGGCCCAGTCTTGCTCATACTTCAGCCTTAGAATGTTTGTAGTTTATGGATGTGCATCTATTTTGAATCAAGTATCCAGGCCAGAGGTCAAGGTCAAAGAAGATTTCTGTTGAAATCCCTGACTCTCCCATTGGCCCTATCTGGCTCATACTTCAACTAGGTTAAGGGTGTGCAGTGACCTTGAAGTTTTTAGGTCAGAGGTCAAGTTCATAGCATATTTCTGTGTAAAATCTTTGTCCCTGGCAAATTTTCTCACCCCTTGACCCCATCTGGCTCATACTGCACATGGGTAAAGGTGTAAGACAAATGTCAAGGTCGAATTCCAAATACAGTCCTTTACAAGGTCTTTTCACCCAAATGTCTGTTACTTTACTTAAAGCAGGGCCCTTTGAGACGTCATCATCTTATTGACAACTAATTGTCAATTGTTTGTCCTGAATCAGACTTCATGAGTGTTGTCAGGGTTTTGCAGTTTACAGACTCATGTTTGTTTACAGGGATTGCTTAGTCTTGGTCCTATTTTGTCATCAATGAGTACTGCTCTTTAGACTGTTTACAGGATTCTTCACACACTGTAAACTGTTTGTTTACAGGTCTTTTTTATTCCTGGCCATGTGTTTGTGTTAGATGACTATTATTTTTGGGATTGTTTACAGGGTTTACTATTTGTTTTCAGGGCTGGTTCAGTCCTGGACAGGTGTTTGTGTTGGATGAGTACTGTGCCAGGTATGGAGTGAGAGGCTGTCACCGACACCTGTGTTACCTGAATGACCTGTTAGAACGGGCCGAGTCTGGCATCATGATTGACCCCACTCTTATTCACTACAGCTTTGCTTTCTGTGCTTCACATGTACATGGAAACAGGTAAGGAGAGCCAATCAAAAGTTTTCCCAGAATCCCTCACTAGTGGTGGGATTACTCTTATAGAAGGCATTTCTTTGAAAGTCTGTGTATATATGCTCACTCTAAAGAATTATTGCTCACAGTGAATTCAATTTCTCAAACAATTGTGTGGTGTCGTGTGAAATTTACGGTTAAAATTGACACAAGGTCAAAATTTTGATAAGACCCCACCCCCACTCTCAACCCCCCTCCCCTTTAAAAGAAAAACCAACCGAGAAAACCTCTGTTTCTATGTTAAGGATTTTTTAAAAACTCATTGAGATTTTTCAGAGAATAATAAATGCCTCTATTTTTTATACCCTCCCTGGAAAAGTGGAGGGTATATAGTGATGGGAGTGTATGTCCTTTCATCCATACATCTGTTACACTTAGGGATAGCCATCCCTTATACACAACTCCTCTTACACCATTGAATGAATTTTAAAATGAGACTTTCACAGAATCTTCATTACATAGTGCCATCGGCACCTCCTATTTATATTTTGATTGGACAGACATTTGGGGTTTCCAATAGCAAAACATGGACTTCACCATTCTTTATTTAAAATTGGGGGTACCCATTTCTTATCTGCAACTTCTTCTATATCACTGAATAAAATTTAATGAGACTTTCACAAAAGCTTTATTACATAGTGCCATTGTGCACCTCCTATTTACATTTTGATCAGACAGATATTTGGGATTTTTCATAGCAGAACATGAACTTTGCCATCATACTAGATAAAGGGGGTACCCATTTTGTTAAAGAGGCTGGGGGGTTGTGGCCATTATTAGACTATATTGATCTCCTTTAGAAGAAGAGCTCCATATGAAGATATAGAAAATGATCAAATTTTAAAACTAAAATTTTTGAAATTTTTCTTTGCCAAATGATAGTTGACAGCTCAAGATATCATATCTAAAAAAATAAGTTAAATCTGGTGGTTAATTTGTGGTTAATTTGTTGACCCCCCAGCCTCCTTAAGGCAACTCCTCTTAAACACCTTAATGAAATTCAACAGAGCTTTTATTGAATTTCATTTACATCCTGCCAAGAAATGCACTTTTTCATTACAATCATATGGGGGTGGGGTATCATTTTGTGAACTCAGTATTTTGTGACCTCAACGTATTTGGTAACAGTGCCAGCATGCATATACTCTAACATGTTTGCAAGTGTTCTCTCCCCCTTTACCTACATAATGTTTAAACAGTTCATGATAAAATCCAACAAAAGGAATAATATATTGTTGACAAATACCTTTTCTGTTGTGCTTTAGTTTATTTGCAGATTTTAGCTTTATGTTTTCTGTAGCTGTGTGTGTTTCATTGATTAGCTTAAATGTTTTTATTAATTAGCTATAGATGTTTTTACTTGTTGTGTGCTTTAGTTTTGAGGTCAAAATTAAACTAAAGCGGGGAAAGAGGTAAGATCCCACAAATTATCTACGTTACTTGCTTGGGGAATTTGCTCTCCATTTCTGGTAGTAGTCCTTTAACAATATAAACCATTTATAGTGTTACTTCTAAGTGCTAAATCTGAACAAATTAATTGTGTTTGTTTCCATCCATAACAGTATTATGGCTTCAGTGGTTAAAGTACACGAGTCGTTCCTCATTTCTCTCAAAGGGGATGTAAATGGTTTGTTTTGCTATTGACTATTATTGATCTCTTTATAAGTTTATATTAGGTCTTACCATCACTGATGCCAATACTGTAGATTCCTAAATATACAGGAGGAATTAATTATCACATAATTTTGCGCATCTCTCACGAAATAAAATCACTCGCTTTTATTTTTATGGTGCTGAAATCCATGTAAAATCAGTTGATCAACCGTCCATTCGCGAATTATTGTTCTTGCGATTTGACGTTTAAAGGCCATTTCGCGATATTAAATACTCGCGTAAAATAAGGAATCTACAGTACCTTACAGTTATCACCATTTTGTTCATCTGCCCGACACTCCATCCATCCATACTTTGACACAATAATTTAATCCTTATTGAATATATTCATTACTCTAACATACATAGAGGATGGTAAAAAAAAAATTTACAGAGTTTTGGTCATGTTAGTCAAAGTCAAGGTTAAAAGGTCAAGATTATTAATATAATTATATCTGACAGTACATTTGTGTGAAGCATTGACTTGAGTTCTCTTGAATTCAGCAACTCCATCACTGATTGGTTAGAGGATGAACTGGGAAGCCCCTAGAGGAACTTGGATGAATCATTGTCATAGTTAACTTAACAAGATCAAGATTATTGATATTTATTTGCATTGATAGGATAACTTAGTTCTTCTAATTCACTAAACAGGTAAAGGGTTGTTCAAAGTTAGACACATGTATCTATTTTGGGCTCTCTCATTGAGGTCAAAAGGTCAAGACTATTGATAAAGACATGCTACATGTCCTTGAATGATTTGGTCAGTTTTCTAGTTTAGGGCTTGGAGGGATTAGATTTAAGATGAAAATAGAAAGATTTTAGTCTTTGAAACTTAAAAATTATATACTCGAAACTTTATGTCTGACCGAAATTAATATTCTGTCTTAATTGATACATTGTAACCAAGCATGGAGAGCAAAGATGGGTTTTAAATACTGGTAGTTGTTTTGCTAGTATTTGAATGCATGTGGGTGCATAGCTGCTGCATGAAATAGATTCATGACATATCATATGGTATGTTCATTATAATTATAACATTTTAAGCATGTTCCATGTTATGATATTAAAATAAAATATGCTTAAATTTGTATTGACCAATAACTAAATATAACAAGAAATGCATGACAAATAGGAATGTAAACAGTTTCCTAGGCAGTGAAAATTTAAAAAAGAAATGGTTTGTAAAGGGAGAAAACTTTGTAGGCAGTTGCAATTATTAAAAAACAATATTATGTTAAGAACAATGAAAACGTTGAAAGGGAGACATTTTTATAGGCAGTGGAAGTGTTAAAAGGGAGACAACTTATGATAGGAAGCAGCTGAAATACCAAAAGGGAGACATTTTTGTAGGCAGCAGAAATGTAGAAATTTAAGGGAGACAATTTTGAAGGCAGCAGGAGACAATTTTGTAAGCAGTGAAATGTTAAAAAGGAAGCAATTTAGTCAGCAAGCATTGAGAATATTGATTGTAGCAAAGATGTTAAAAGGTATATCATTTTGTAGGCAACAAAAATTTGACATGGGATACAATTTTGTAAGCAGCTATAATGTAAAATGTAGACAATATTCTATAGACAGCAGAAATGCTGATAAGTAACCAATTTTATTGGCAATGGAAAAGTTAAACAGGAAGATTTTAAAGTCTAAAAACTGTTGAAATATTGAACATTGATGTATTTGTAAATATAAACATAGGTAATCAAAGATTACGAAGCTCACCTCGACGAATGTTATCTACATGTAAGGCAAATTTCACATCATATTTTTTTTCTAGTTAGGGTACATCCCAAGATCAATATCCATGCAAGTTTGGTTTAATTATAGATCTGCTCAAAAAACTTTTGACCTGTTTAGTAATCAAGAAAATTTTGGTCAGTTCCAACATCTAAAGCAAGTCTGGAAGTTTTCATTCTTAGATGCACCATCTATGCAAGTTTTATCATAACAGGCCATAATATAATAAAGCTACTCCAAAAAATTACCCTGGTCACTCATCTGGAAAATGTACGTCAGATTCAGAATCCAAGGCAAGTCTGGAAGTATCCATCCCTAGATACATCATCCATGCTAATTTGGTTAAAATATGGCTAAAATTCACTCATGTGGAAAATCTAGGTCAGATCCAGCATTCGAAGCAGGTTGGTTAGTGTACATCCCTAGATGCATCATCCATGAAAGTTTGGTCCAGGTAGGGCTTATAGTTACTTGGGAACGAGACTACTCCTAAATCTAAACCTGGTCTCACATGTGGAAAATCTAGGTCAGATCCAGCATCTGAAGCAAGTGTGGTAGTGTCCATCCCTGGATGCATCATCCATGCAAGTTTGGTCCAGGTAGGGCTTAGAGTTACTTTGGAATGGACCTGCTCCTAAAACTTTAACCTGGTCACTCATCCGGAAAATCTAGGTCAGATCCAGCATCCGAAGCAAGTGTGGTAGTGTCCATCCCTAGATGCATCATCCATGCAAGTTTGGTCCAGGTAGGGCTTACAGTTACTTGGGAATGGACCTGCTCCTAAAACTTTAACCTGGTCACTCATCTGGAAAATCTAGGTCAGATCCAGCATCCGAAGCAAGTGTGGTTGTGTCCATCCCTAGATGCATCATCCATGCAAGTTTGGTCCAGGTAGGGCTTATAGTTACTTGGGAATGGACTTGCTCCTAAAACTTTAACCTGGTCACTCATCCGGAAAATCTACATCATATCCAGCATCCGAAGCAAGTGTGGTAGTGTCCATCCCTAGATGCATCATCCATGCAAGTTTGGTCCAGGTAGGGCTTATAGTTACTTGGGAAAGGACCTGCTCCTAAAACTTTAACCTGGTCACTCATCGGGAAAATCTAGGTCAGATCCAGCATCCGAAGCAAGTGTGGTTGTGTCCATCCCTAGATGCATCATCCATGCAAGTTTGGTCCAGGTAGGGCTTATAGTTACTTGGGAATGGACCTGCTCCTAAAACTTTAACCTGGTCACTCATCCGGAAAATCTAGGTCAGATCCAGCATCCGAAGCAAGTGTGGTAGTGTCCATCCCTAGATGCATCATCCATGCAAGTTTGGTCCAGGTAGGGCTTATAGTTACATGGGAATGGGACTTGCTCCTAAAACTTTAACCTGGGACGCCGACGCTAACGCCGACGCCGACACCGACGCCGACGCCGACGCCGGGGGTATAGCATAAGCTCATCTCGACTTCGTCGAGGTGAGCTAAAAATGAAAGAATCAGAATAAACGTTAAAAAGAGGAGAGTATTCTACATTTATATAGGGAAATAAAAAGGAGACTTTATTAACATTTAAAACAAGAAAAATCTAAGCTTATAGTGACTGTGGCAAATATATACCATTATGAAATGTTGTTCTACATTTTTTTCATATCCAGGCCTAATTGCAATGATTTGGAGTTATTTAGTACTCAGTTCTTTTCTTTCTGTGATAGATCTAGTCAGTGTGGTGTTGGTCAAAGAAAAAAAAAAAACCTGACTGGATATGTTTCAATAACTTTTATTTATATCTTAAGAAATCTTGATCTTTTGCAGGCCTGATGGTATTGGTACTGTTTTGTTGAGGGAAAAACTACAGTTTGATGAAATCAAGGAAAGACTTAGGATTCTACTTGAAAACCAGATTACACACTTTAGGTAATATACTAAAATTCTAATTTAGCTATGAACAGATTTAACCAGTCACATTAATAATTTGAATAAAGACCAATTTTAGTTTACATTGTAAAATGTCATTTCCTTCTTGACATAATTGTTGTGTTTGTTGAGTCTTTTCATTTGACTGATTAGGTATAAGCCATATTGGCATTACACCTGATATATCTTTTGATCTACTTACACAGGTACTGTTTTCCTTTTGGAAGACCAGAGGGGGCATTAAAGGCCACACTGTCACTCCTTGAGAGGGTAAAAAAAACCCAACCATATAATGGTTATAAAAATTATATGAAAGATATAAAAAGATTCAAACTGATTTCTTAGATTTATATATTTTGAGTTTGATATACAGATAATTTGTTTATGTTTAGAAGTTCAATTTCAATACTTTATTTTAAGATGAGAATGAAATTTTTTTTGAATTAATTAGTTTAGTAGCTTTTATATTGCATACTTAAAGTAATTATTAATTAATCTGAAAGCAGTAGAATAATTCTATAATTTATTTTTTCAGGAAGATCATGTATGTTAGTATTAAGATTTATTGTGACCCAATTCACAGAAGTATTGTAAAAATAACATTTCAGGTTCTAATGAAAGATATAGTGACCCCTGTACCACCAGAGGAAGTCAGAAATGTCATTAAGAAATGTCTGGAAAACGCTGCTCTCGTTAACTACACCCGAATCTCCGAGTATGCCAAGATTGAAGGTAACAACTAACTTGTAATTCATTGGCTGATTTTAAATTTAAATGGGAAATTTTTTTTCAGAATTTGTGATGAAATATTTTTCTCTCTATTTGTAAAGCTTTGCCTTTTTGCAGTAATTTTTTTGTAATTATATGAATGTATTTATGTATATTTTATGCTTAGGAAGGAAAGGTGAAAGAAATTGCTTTAACTTGATTTTAACAATTTTCCTAAATTTCGTTTTGTTTATATAATTTTTTGTCTCTGGGGTAGTTGGTGTTAAAAAAAAATTGGCTAGCTTTTCAGACTTGCATGCTTTGTTACACACTGATATTTGTTTGTGCACTAATAGTGTTGATTTGAGTTTTTTGATAATATGAAAAATCCACAGACAGAATATAAAAAACAGCAGAAACACAATCTGAATGCAATACCCGATAAGATATCCAGCTGGCAGTTTAACAGTGTTAGTTAAAAATTTTATAAGCTTATGTACTGCCAAAACTACAGGACTGTATAAATTTAATTGCATGTTGAGTAGCTTGTTTTTTTTTTTGGAATTTTAAATATTTGATGTACTTATTGTAAGGGTTTCGATTAGTGTTTCTGTCTCATATGACTGAATTACCTGAATGTAAACAACATGTACATAGATGCTTTACATAAATTAAACTTCTTGGATGAGCTAAACTGTTTTAACAGTAATTGGATTGTTGGATTGAAACTGAAGAAGCACCAATGTGGTTGAGGAATTTAGTAGAAATGTTTTATGATCTGAGGGCATCATTTCTATACAGTAAGATGTGTATTTTGCAAGATATATCTGTGAGTTTGACCCAATTTGTTTCTGCAGGGTCAGGATCTACTGGTAGGTTTGGTATTAGAGACCCTGAGCCCTCTTTTTTTCAATCTATTGTATAACCTTTTGATTTTTTGTGACTGTGGATGGGTAACAATTACTGTACTCCTTAAGCTAAAGTCCTCCCCCCCCCCCCCTCTTATTTTTTTCTTCTTTACCAGTAAACTTGTTGCTTGCAGTTTTGGCACTTAATAATTGTTTAATAGCATTTTCATTGTGGATCAAAAGGTTTAGTTCCATCAATTTGCAATGTTGTAAGTTTGTGAATTTTATTTATGAATTTTCCAAAATAATTTTTATAAATTATTCTATGTTATTGATTTCTGCCTTTTCCATGTAGTTGTGAAATGAAAGATTTTATAAATTGGCCCATAGAGTATAAAATTTTTCAAGCTAATCTTTGCCCTCATGTAAAAGAAGTTACATGTATTACTACTCCATCTTAATACAAATTTGAGTATTAAAGTTACTCTTTTATAAAGATTGATTTCATGGAACACTGTATACGTTGTATTGATGTAATATCACAACAAATTTACTTTCCGTTCAAGATGCATATACACGATCAAGAATTTTGAATTCTGATTTTAAAAAAATCTGAAAATAAGACTTTTTTCCCCCATTCAATCTTCAGATATCATTTTCATGCAAAGGAGATGTTAAGAAATGATTTTCTTGTAGATTCGTATAATGAGGAGGTATCCCCAAAGAAACGTCTGGATGATGTCATTCACCTGGCCGAGCTGTGTATTGAGGTCCTACAACAAAACGAGGAACATCACGCTGAGGTTAGTATTAATCACCATGACAACCAGGTGTGTATTGTATTGGTTGCTAGGAACACCAGTTTAGGATAACTGGATGTTTTTGTTTGATATTGATATACTGCTTTATTGTATAGAAAGGAAAAAAAATGAGAATTAAAAAAAAAAAAGGAAATGAAAAAAAAGAAAGGATTAATATAAGATGCATATTGATGTATGTTTTATGTTATGCAGTAGAACTTCGCTATCTCAAATTCAATATCTCGAATACCATGTATATGTCAAAGTGAGTTGAAAGTCCCAACAACGTTTTCTTTACCCTCAATATCCTGAATCCTTAGATATCTCAAAGTTTATTCTTGGTCCCATCGAGTTTGAGATAATGAGGTTTGACTGTAGTAGAAATTTTCTTGTGTTTGTGAGTTGTGATTTTTGTGTTTATTTTAACCAGCAATGACTCTCTTGTAGTGAAAAGTAAGGATTTATTTCAATTCAGAAAAGTGTTTCTTAAAAAGGGAGATGTTTAATTTACTAGTTTTCTACTCACTTACATTACTAACACTGATTAATATTCACAATTAGAAAATCTTTCTAAATTTAAATTCAATTCTTGCATTGGCACTCTGCACTTAGCATTTATTCAGTTTCTGAGATGTTTAATTTAAATATCCATTGCTGTTTAATCATACTAGTAGGATATTTAAAAAAAATTGAAACAGAACTTTAAAAAGATTATCATTTTCAAAATGATTTTTATCGATTAGAGGTGTAAAAAAGCTGTTTATTTTTATGATTGATACCAATTGTACATTTTGAAATTTGTGGCATTTAACATATTTTAATGCTTAACAATGTATATTTAACTACTGTAACAGATAAATATTTTCTTCAAATAAAATTCACTGTTGTGCAAAATTATACACTGAATAAAACAAACATCTGTGACAAACCAGAGAATTCAGAATAAGTGACAATTATATACCTATATAGTGGGTTTCTTTACTTGGTGTAATATTTGGTGTTTGTTTGCTCAAAGTTAGTCAATAATTTAAGTGGAACTTTTTTGGTGGACACAGAGTTCCATGACATTGCAAATAAGTAGCATAATTTTATACTACTTAATGGGAGAGTGCTTCAGGTACCTTAGATAGGTAAAGCAATGCTAAAAACAATTTTACATCAAAATACTAGATCAAGTCATGAATGAATGAGTTATCAATGAAATCACATCAGTGATGCACCAACCAATGACCAATCATCATTTCCAATGGATGTCCTATCACTAGTATTCTCAATAAACTAGAATGTCTATGAATGTATCTATTGACTTTTGTACCATGTGAGTTTGTGACTGTTGATTAACGGTGTGTTATGCTGCAAAGGGGGAATATTTACAAGCTAGGATATAATATGGCATCCAAACTTATCTATATATCATAAAAAGCAATTGGCATAAAAAAAATTTCTCGTAAAGAATTTTTCTACATATGCCTATCATTTCAATATACATGACTGTTGAACTTTTATGAGCTTTTATGATTACAGTAAAATTTTTTACTCGTGAAATGAAGTCCCCTTTGCAGTAACTGATTGTTTTGTGTGATAATATGTGATTTGCTGACCTTTATTTTTTTCTGACATGTGCATGTTACTAACATCATTCTTTGTGCTTTCTCCCTCTATTGTTAGGCCTTTGTGACGGTGAGTCTGGATTTGTTTGTGTTTTTTAGCACCGTACATTTAATATTCATTTTTTTTTTAAGTACAGTGTACAAGATATGTTTTTATGTGTATATATAGTTATCAAGTTGTGCTTTAGTTTGATAATACCAGGATTCATTGAAACACTTAAATTTAAAGTCTCTCTGTGCATAGAAATAGTTATTTCAGTTGGGCAATTAAAGCATTTCAGAAATGCAAAACAGAAAATTTTATAGCATGTGGACTTGTCTTTCACATAGTTCATTTACTTAATTTATTTGATTAAATTGTAAGCTAACACATCTCCGTAGTAGCAGTGCACTGTGTGCAATGTTGATTTAATTATTTTAATTTCACTGTCACATTCAATTTTTCTTGTAATCTTATGTACTAGTATACATTTTCATCATTTTATCATCTACTGATAGGGGTGCATACCCACAGACAAAAAGTTGTAAATGGATTATTTCTAAAACTCACAGTAATTTTATAACATTTGAATCTCTTTTCTTGTAGAAGAATAAAGCAAACAATATAAACCAAGTGAGAGTTTTGATACTGACGCTGAATTTTTTATGTTTGCTGGGAAACCTAGGAGTTTGATGAAAAATATTGATTTTGATTGTTTTATATTTGTTCTGCTAGAAGATGATTTTCTGAAAATGTTTCATGCCTTGTGGTTGAAAATCAGTGACAAATTGTTCATGGTCTGTCTGTCTGTCTATCCATTACTTTACCAGGTGTCTCTGCTTTTAGAGACACATCCCAGACCTATGCCAGATAAAGGTGCAAATGCTGGGGTATGGTGTTTCAAACCTGTCATGATTTTTTTTCTTCTGATTTTACTGTTGAAAATGATTGTTTATTTGCATTTTATCTTTACTTTTTTTATGCAATGGGATTAGGAAGTAAAAGTGCATGAAAATGAACTTTTCTCAGAATTCTCTTTTTTTATCTCAGTGATTTCATATGAGCATTTTTTCCCTAAGTTTTAGCTTATAAATTCTCAGATCTTTTATATTAGATAATGAGAAAATCCAAACTATTCTAATGATCTTACAATTTTATTTCCTACAAAATTTTAGTTTTTATAATCTTTGAGAATTTTTGCTATGAAAATTTGTGCTAGGGAAAAAATTAAGGAACTAAAATAATTAACAATTTTTTATATACATGTATAAAATAAAACCTATTGATACTGGCTTTAAAGCTGAACATGATTTGTTTATGGGAGAGAGTTATCTTTGGCCACCCTGTTAGTCATCTCAAGACTGTCCTTTCCAGCCCTTATATAAGCCTCAGTTTGTTCAGAGTGTAATTAATGTATTTCGCTTCATGTACTTCACCTGAAAAGATGTCTCCTTCATTGTCTGCTGTGATATACTTCGGCACAACAAAAATGACTTCTGTATGCCTCTGCCACGTCAGGAAAAAAGTTACCAAATATATTCATTATCAATTGCACAAAATGAAATAAACATAAATGGATGTTCAATGAAATAAAACATAAACAAAGAGGACAATGTTAGATATACAGTACGCACAGCACCAACAAGGTAAAAGCAATCAGGTGTAAGGAATGCGAAGGGTTTATAAATATACCACAGTGCTGATATAGGAGATAGGAAAACTAATATGGCATATGCCTATTTATAAGTCGTGTTCAGCTTTAATGCACAAGATGAATTAGAGAAACATCATTATAAAAGATAAAGCTGTTATGTTATGCAATGTATACGATGAATTATAAGATATTTTGCTTTACATTTTTTTCCTTATTTTTTTTCAAAAAAATATTCTTTTGATTGTTTTTAAATATTAATCATGAATTTTCCTTATAAGATTTCTTTTTTTACTGCTTTGCATTTAACATTTTCTACTGTAGTTATAGGGTAAAGGTTTCTAAAATTTCAGAGAATTCTTTTGGGAATATTTTATTACATTTAATAATTTTGAAAAGTTTTCATGTATTTTCTTCATCATCTGATAGCCCCTGTATGTCTTTGCAATGCTGAATTTTTTTGCTGGGCTAAATATTAATTACTAACATTTTACTAAAAAAAAAAACACCTGGGGATAATTTCATTCCTAAAAGTCTGACAAAAAATATTCATCACATATTAACTTCATCAATCACTTTTTCAAATCTTAATGGCTTCCACTTCTTGAGGTGTGTTGATTTTTTTTTAAATTTAACTTCTTCAGACGACTTGGATTTTATTTTTTCAGGCATTTGCATGGTTCAGTGACTTACTGGTAGAGCATGCCGAGATTTTCTGGTCGCTGTTTGCTGTTGACATGGATTCTACACTAGAAATGCAGCCCCCAGACACATGGGATAGCTTTCCACTGTTCCAGCTTCTAAACGATTACCTCAGAAATGATGGTAGGCTCTGCTTAGGCCAGGTCAAGTTTAAGTCCACAAGGCATAATGATTTCCTTCGGAAAAATATGTGGACTTCAATTAATATGCAATTTGTGGCTTTATCAGTCTGTTTTTTAGCTCTACAGGTCAGAGACCAGAAGAGCTTATGCGATAGTAAGGTGTCCATCTTCAGTCTGTCCGTCTGTGAACAATTTTTCAAAATGCTACCCCTGCTACAGTTTTGGACTAATTTCAGTATAACTTGGCACACAAGTAGACTATACTAAGATACATAATTCTGTGCATTAGTTTTTGATTTCACTTTTGCCATGGTTACTATAAGTAGAAAGAAGAAGGTACGGTTTTAGCTTTATTGGGCCCTAAAAAATTAATGTTTTCAAAAAGTTTTGAAACTGGCTTAAATATTAGTTGAGTACATGGCAGTGATAAGTCAGGAAAGAATATGGCATGAAGGAGTACCATTCTGGAAATATGTCATCATTAATTTGATGCATTTCTCTATTTTAAACAGATAAAGCCTCAAAATGATCCATTTCAAGGGTTATTTTCCTTAAGGAAATAGTGTCCACAGCCGTCGCCCACCTTAATTTTCGGATATGATAAATTCTTTGAAAAATCACATATCTCAAAATCTTTGTGGGCGATGCTTGTGGACAATATTATCTCAAAAGAAAATTCCATTGAAAATTGGTGTCTTCTGCATCTTTTTAAGAAAATACGGGAAAATGCAAGAGTTTACGACGTCACAGTTAGCATTTAGAAGGTCATGTGAGAAAAATATTTTTTTATGATCTTTCTGCATGGAATTTCAATGATTCAGAAAGCACGAGTTTTAATTTTTTACATCACTTTCATTTTTAAGAAAACACAGGGCAAGATTTGTATTGAAACTGTACCCTGTTTTTTCTGTGAAATTCTTTCAAAGTGCTACTCCTCCTGCAGTTTTGCTTTGATTTCAATATAACTTGGCACATAAGTAGACTACACTAGCATATATAATTCTGATTATCATTTTTGATTTCAATGAATGGCATTGCCATGGATACTAAAAATAGAAATTTCTGTGAATTTTTTTCAAAACACTACTTCTCCTATTGTTTTAGTCTGATTTCAGTATAATTTGGCACACAAGTAGACTACATTAAGATACATTATTGTGTGGTTTCTTCCTTGGGTTTGAAAAAATAGAATATAAAAAATCACACCCTACTAAACACAATTATTTGTGAGATTTCAATGTGTGCATCAGATGCAGTCATTTGACATAACAAAACTACATGCAAAAGCATCTTAAGATTTATAGTCATTCCAAATGAAGGAAATTTATGTAAACTATCACACCTATGCATTATTATTTGCCACTGACAGAAAACCTCTCAGGCGGAAAGTTCCACCAGCATCTGCGTATGGCGTTTGCGCCCCAGGTTGTGAGATATGTGGATCTAATGGAGTCTTCTATTGCCCAGTCCATTCATAAAGGGTTCGAGCGAGAACGCTGGGAGCCTCAAGGGTAAGGAGGATTTTTTAGGGAAGAATGTACTAAATACTAAAACATGTAAACTTTTTGAAAGGTAAATGCCAAATTTCCTTGCAGATTTTTTTATAAAGAAAATCTATCACTAGGGACAAATTATTATCCCCTTGTAATGGAGTTGGAGGAGATATAGTAACACATTTGTTGGTATGTGTGTGAGGGGTTATTGGTGTGTAATGGAAGTTACGCAAGCAGTAATTTATATCGGATCGATTTGCTCTTTTTTGAGGAAATGTTCCACTTTGCAGTGCCCTTGTTTTAAATACTTTAGCAAATATAATCAGTTAGAGAATATATTTTGTAGGAATGGTTGTGCTACATCTGAAGATATGCTGTGGAAGCTGGATGCCCTCCAGAGTTTCATTCGAGAGCTCCACTGGCCAGATGAAATGTTTGCCGATCACCTGGATCATCGTTTGAAGCTTATGGCTGCTGACATGATTGAGGCTGCAGCAAAGCGGTGAGGAGATTGTGGGGAAACATTTCGTTTTTGTATTGGCCAAAATTGTGGTTGTGCCTGGGAAATTATAGATTGATTTTTTTTTTTTGCCTAATTCAGAATTATTTTGGGAAAAAATATGCAACTTAAAATTAGATTTGATAGAAATTGACAAAGCACTTGTTTTCATTTTGCAATTAAAATATTTTTGATGAGTTTACTGTTGGTAAACAGTAGTTGAAATTGGAAAGTGCTGTAATGATAATTATGGTTATGAAATGTGAACATTATAGACATATATCCATATGCAGTAGAACTTCAGTATCTTGAACATTGATAACTCAGATACCATGGATATTGTCATACTGAGTTATTCTTTATGTATACCTTATTGTTTTTATCTTCAAAAATTGCAAATTTTTTTCTAGGCCCCATCAATTTTGAAATAATGAAATTTGATTGTATCAAGGAAGATATTACTTTGTTTGTGAACCCCTTTGGTGGCATACCGTTGAATTATATAAATCTGAAGATGAAAGTTTTTATTTACAATATTACATAAATTATATTACATGTTTAACAATAGTAAAACTGATTTTTTTACAGAACCCTGAAGTCCTTTGAGGCATGGCTAAGGAAAGGAGGAAAAGGAACAGATTATTTACTATATCCTGAAATGGCTGTTATGATGAATGTCATTATTGACTGTAAAACAAGGGTGGGTGCAATTATCAGGTGTTTGGTGCGAATATTGTTTGTCTGGAGATATTAGGTGACAAACTGTGTTTAAATCTAGGTACTATAAACATATAGGGCATGCTTAATAAAAGAGTCTGCAGGAGTGAAATGTTAAAGTTTACTTGGGCCATCATTAAATTTTTTTTTTTTTGTTTGCTGTACCACAACCCATATTTTTGAATGAGTTAGGTAGTTAGGTATGTTATTTGTTTTTTGGAATTATCTAACACGATAAATATTATGAAAATCACAGATAAACACATATATTCCTCCATTATTCTTACCTAAATTTCATCAACATAGTTTAGGTGTTTGTAAAAAAAAAAAAAAAAGAAAAAAGACATATGGAACCTAAAGTTTAAAAGCATTTAAGTTGAACGATCTGTATTTTCCCAGAAAAAAAATAAAGAAGTAAACATTAAAGTACTGAAAAAAAAAAAAAAAAAAAAACATGATCGAATAGAGGTAATTTTGATGGGTCTGTCAGAGTACATCAAACAAAACATTTTTTTATTGTTGGCCTTGCAGTTGTTGAAGATAAATCAAAAGTCAGTGACTTGTGAATACTTAGGAAATTTTTATGGCTAGCATTATGTGTCTTGTATTGATATAATAATTCTCAAAAATTTTAAATAATATGAATAAAAAAAAATGTTTCCTTGTTCTTTTAAGTATAGGCTCTGCATTTGTGTGCTCTTGACAGCGGGGAAAATATGGTAAGTATAAAATGTAACTCTTGTTAACTTGTAGTATAAATAAAGCATGAGTTATATCTGAATGTCTACTAGTAGTATTCATTACGTTTTTATCAAATTAATGTAGATTTTTGTTTATAAATATGAGTTGTTGTGCTTTGTTTATACATGTAATAGTTTTTGAAGTGCAGTTTTTTAAATCACATTCTTCAAGATGAACTCCTAGCTTTCACCTCTTCAAATGAATTCAATGCAATATTTTCATCTTCACATTGTTTCCTCAGTGGCAAATATTAATAATCACAGCGGATTTCAAGAAGACAAATTTTGAATTAAATTCTAGAAAGTAATATTTGGTTTGCAGAATGTCAGTGACATCATGCAGTGGAACTTAATTTTATTGAATTAAGTGGGGGAAATTTTTGGTCAATTTTTTTTATACTATGGATAATGTTAAGACCTAATAGGCTATTTTTTTGGTTATTGTTGAAAACCTGCTGAAATGATTCAAAACAACGTAAATATATTTTAAAGAAGTTTTTAATTTTCGATGCAAAACTGAGGTTCTCATTAATTGGTCTATATCTTTTAAAGATAAAAAGCAGATAGGTTATTTAAGAAACGCCTGCCATTCTTGTTAAGGTCTTGAGGATATGAACATATAAGACTCCTCACACAGGCACATAATCATGGCATTCTTCAGGAATTAATTTCTATATATTATAATAATCATTTTTGCACTGATTATGATTAGTAGAGTTGAATGACACAATAGATTTTTTTATTGAAAAAAAAAATTGGACATTGATGTTGTGGACCTGATGACAGGCATATTTTATACTATTGATGGTACTCTTATTTGAGTTTTTTTTTTCCTTAGATCTTTATTTCAATTTTCACATATTAATGACATGTTTTGTTCCTTTTGATTTCTTTCAGAAACTTAGAGAGAATTTGGTATTGTGGTATTGTGTTTTTTTTCTTTTCTCTTTATCTTTTTGTATTTGTATAATTGTACAGTACTTTAGCTAATCTAGACTGCTTGATTGTCTGTGTACTGTTTAATAAATATTATGTAGCCTCAGTGAAGGAGTGAACTATTCATTATAGATATGTCATGCCTAACCTCTTTAAAGACCATATTCATCTTCTTTAATTATCTATAAAGAAATTTCCATGAAAATGTATGACAGCTAACGACATTCATCTCGAATGCAACATTTAACAAATGCCAAGTAATTTTCGTGTGTGAAGTATCAAAATTTAACCTTTTATCTGTGTTTACTAATTCAGTGATGTGTCTGAACAAAAAAATAACTGTCATGACATTTACATCTATCTGAATTCTCCCGAGAGGTCATGTTCTCTGCAGTTAGTCTAGGCCTCAGCTTTCCTCTCTATCTACTTGTATTTTTGTTGTAAAGTAACTTTATATTCTTGACAAAGAAAAACATCACTATAAAACAATATTCATCTCTCAGGAAAAAAAATTAAATTTTAAAGTAAAATATTTTAGAAATATTATAAACTATTTTAATAAGAATTTTAGTATAAGGTATTTTAATAAGACATATGTTGAATTAAAGTTAAGTAAATGAACTATAGGTAAAAAATGAATTCAAAGTAAAATTAAAATTATGTCGACATTAGAATGCTTTATATTAAAATATGAAATACTTTACAATTTTCAATTTTTATTTTTTAATTTTAGCATCAGTATCACACTAAAATTGAAGATTTCCTGGACAGGATACAAGTTCAGATGGTCAAATGTTTGATAGAAAAGGTATGGAGTCTCAATGAAGTGAATACATGTATTTAAATCTTCATTGCTTTATATAGTCATACATGAAAAATCATGAATTTGATAAAAAAATTAAGAGAATCTATTGATTATTACACTTTCCATTGGTATTTCTCAGAAAGATTTACACTAGAATACAGACAACAGCCAGTATGAGGGTACCATTTAAAATTAATTTATTGTATCTGTATCGTGATACATCTAATTAGAATCTCATTTTGCTTCCTAACAGGAGAATTTCACCTAATTACAGAAATATGGACTTTCAGTTTTTTTTCGTTGTGTATATTCCAGTTGCTGTCAGTACTAGAGTCTGTGTTAAGTAAACATTGTATATATTCCAGTTGCTGTCAGTACTAGAGTCTGTGTTAAGTAAACTTGCCAGATATGATGAGGGAACCTTCTTTTCATCCATCTTATCATTAACAGTAAGTAGTATTCACCCAGCAACAGAGGATAGGATATTACACAGGATATTACTGACTAATTAAAGTAAAACATGGTCATAGCCAACTTCCAGGAATATATCCATACTTGAAATTGAACTTCCTGTATGTTGCTCTAGGAGAACAAGATTGAATAGATTATTTTTTTGATTTTCTTCCCTAAAATTCAGAAATAATTATTTTAAAATAAATCAATAATATCTTATATGATTTTCTTTAATGCACTATATATATCATCAACACTGTATGTATTTGCACATGTATACTGAATAATGCCAACTTTTTAAACATAATCGAACAGTTTACTTTCATCATATTATGAAAATAATTATTTGATGGTAAAAAAAAAGATTTTAAACAAGAAAATTTTTTATTTATGTAATTCATTCATGGAATATTACTCCTTGATATTTTCCCTTTCCCCGCTTTCCCATACATGTGATTCTAAATGATATAAATATTTATATAGAAACCTGTGAATGAGCTTGGCAAGGCATATGTGGACTTTATGAGAGGTAACCTGGACATACTTAGACAGAAGATAGCTGATGAGTTATTTACTCTCTCTATATTTGAGGTAAATGTGTATCAAAATGCAGTGGTTTGTCTTATTCTGTACAACCATTATACAAATTTAGTATATGTCAAAGTTCTTGTATATGGCATTGTTTTGTAATTTGTTAATTGATATGATGAATATTTACAAGTTTAAGGGGGAAAAAAAATTTTATGAATTGTTATTTTGTTTTAGCAATGGTACTCAGGTCAAATGAAGATGATATGTGATTGGTTATCAGACAGACTGGACTTGAGTCTCCACCCATATCAGTTAACATGTGTCATGACTATCAATAGGGTAAGTATCAGTTAACCTGAGTCATGACTATCTTTAGCGTGAGTTTATCAGTTAACGTATCATGACTATCAGTAGGGTAAGTTTGTCAGTTAACATGTGTCATGACTATTAATAGAGTAAGTTTGTCAGTTAACATGTGTCATGACTATTAATAGGGTAAGTTTGTCAGTTAACATTTGTCATGACTATCAATAGGGTAAGTTTTTCAGTTAACATTTGTCATGACTATCAATAGGGTAGGCTATCAGTTAACATGTGTCATGACTATCAGTAGAGTGACTTTGTCAGTTAACATGTGTCATGACTATCAATAGGGTAAATTTGTCAGTTAACATGTCATGACTATCAATAGGGTAAGTTTGTCAGTTGACATGTGTCATGACTATCAATAGGGTAAGTTTGTCAGTTAACGTGTCATGACTTGAGTCTCCACCCATACCAGTTAACATGTGTCATGACTATCAATAAGGTAAGTTTTTCAGTTAACGTGTCATGACTTGAGTCTCCACCCATATCAGTTAACATGTGTCATGACTTGAGTCTCCACCCATATCAGTTAACATGTCATGCTTTTAATAGGGTAAAATTGTCAGATAACCTGTTTCATGACCATGAATAGGGTAAGCTCTCAGTAATAAGTATCAGTTTACATGTGTCATGACCATCAATTGGGTAAGTGTGCAAAATCTTATTTTTTCATCAAAAAAGCCTAATTCAGGGGTCATATTGTACGAATTGTTTGTCCTCTGCATTAATTAAAGGTACTTCCAGGTGTTCTACATAATGGGAATCTAATAAAATCACTTACAAATGTAGGTAGTTCATGAAACGTGATTTACAGTAACTACCTGAATTATAAAAGAAGCTGAAATTAGTATGTCGGGCTTGAATTTTAGATCAATGATTCACAAAGTGTGTGATGTCAAACAAACGTTATGTGTGCAAAACATGTAGAAATGGTAATGAATGATACATGTATTTGAATTTTTCAATGCCAATATGTTTTTGTTTCAGAAATGTTTTTCTGATTTTGAGCTCCAGGGAGTTCCTGAGAACATATTAAATGCCAAAACCTATCAAACCATCTGTAGCAGACTTCAGGTTGTCGCTTTATCACAAAAATAACTTAAAAACTAAGTTTAGCATTTATATAGAGAGAAAAACGTATATAAACAGCCAATTACTAGCAATAAATAATTAGAAATCACTATGAAAAATAACATAAATGTAATTTTATTTTGTTTAAGGTGGAAGAGGCCACACAGTCTGTCACACAATCAGAGAACAACAGCAAGACATCACGATTCCTGGGGGGTGGGGGAAGTTCTATGGGTGGGGCCAGTAGTGGAACGGGCAGCCAGGCTAGCGGGGATGAGTCGGATTGAAACAGGAGACAATTCAGAAATATGTGATCTTTTTTGAATCAGTCAGTTTTCATAATGAAAACTTGTCAATATTGTTGCTTAAATTTGAAGAGATTTAGAAATATAAAGGCTAGTCGTGTTCAATACAGAAAATAGTTTTGTAGAAATTCAGACCTGTTCAACACATTGTGTGTAACTATAGGGTAGATGCCAAATCCAATCCTAAAAGAATTTAGGCTAATATATGAACTTGAAATAACTATTATTAAGCAGTTCATTTGGAAAAAAAATATGCAATTAGGTGAATTAAATCATTGAAATTTAGGTTGTAGTGAAAATTATCATTTTTTAGCATATACTTGCATTTCTTTACTGTTCAAACAACAAAAAAATGTGGAAGATAGAATAGATAATTGTGATGCCAGGGTAGAAGATTTGGTACATAATATGTTGTACTACATTGCTTAACTCCCAATATTTTACTGCTGCTTTTCTTCTTATATTTAGCACATCTTAGCTTTTGTAGAGAATCTCGTAAACATCATAGAAGGGACATTAGTTGAACCCTTGCCCCTATATTTTACTGTGAAGAATGAGATAAAAAAATTAATGCAATATGGTCTATAGTTTTACATATTTCGATTGTGTAAATTAATTTGATGTATGGCAAGACTGATTTTTCTGAAGAATATTATCTTCATTTTAACAATGTACCTCAGAGTATACTACAGGTAACTCTTGATGGCTCGAACTTCGATCTCTCGAAGTTCTTGATTGCTCGAAGTGAGTCTCCAGTCCCGAATTTTTCCCCTATATAACTAAGCAAATTTACTCTTGATTTCTCTAATTCTTGATCTCTCGAAACCCTTGATCCCTCGAAGTCAGAATGCAGTCCCGCTATGCATATTCTATTAGAATTTACTCTCGATACCTCGAAGTGGCTATGTGTATACAAGGTTATATAATTAGCACCTTTACCTGGACATTTTAATGGCCCAAGGCAGAAGACGTGGGTCTCGAGGAACGGGATGTTTATTTAGGTGACACTTATGCTGCAAGGTGATAATTGATTTATAATTATCCATATTTTGTCTATATGCTATTAAAATAATTATCATCGACTGTCTTACGATAATTTAGAGACGCAGTGTCAGTGAAACGTAGTAATTGATTAAAAGACAAAACACTCGAAGTTTTTCCTCGGTCCCGCGGACTTCGAGGAATCGGGAGTTACCTGTATAATCATACATAATTTAATGCACTCAAAATTAGCACAATCTTCCTCATGGACTGATTTGCATAATGTTAAAGTAGGGTATTTGGGGCCAAGTTTTTGTGAGTATATATGTTTTAATTATATATTAGTGTATACTTGAATAAGCAGATAATATACATGTAAAAAGCAGCATGAAAGGCGCTAAAATGTGATTACCTCTAAAAAAGTACGTTTACAGTAATGCATTACAGAAGTATATTCCATTACAAGATATCATTAACATTTATGATTTAAAGAACTGAAATGACTTCATTTGAAACAATTCAGATGAACTTGTAAATCACACTTTTGCATCACTAGAAACTTGTTTTTAAGTCTATTGATACATTACACAATCTCATGCAAAGGTTGTGCTTATACTCGCACACTGTTTTGATTCTAGGGGTGTCTGGTTTGCCATAGTGCAGTTAAATTTACATATTTTTTCCTAGGGTATTTAAGGTTTTAACTCTTGAATTTTTCAGAATTAATGTAACATTGCCTAAGAAGGAAAAAAGTTGTACATTTGTTAGCCAATTGTTTTTCTTTATCAAAATATAAACAAAATTAAGAATTGCATTACTCAAAGTAATTTTACTTTCGTATTAGTGGAAAATGGCAGTTCATTTGCTATTGAATATATTGATATGTAGTGTATTCATCATAGTTTTACAAGCCCTACCAAAAGTTAAGTATTTTGTACTACATGTATTTTGAGTTGTGTACTTCGGTTTTGTTTATTTTGAGAAGCACTGCCATTGATGTAAAAACTCTCATGAATAATTTTTAAAATAGTTTTGATACTTTTGCTATTGATTTCCTGCTCTGAATAGTAAATGAGAATCTGTAACACTTAAAATTATTCCATCATCAATGTTCAGCACAATTATAAATGTACATGCATATTTCTCCCTTACCTTTTTGAACGGTGTCTATTTAACTAAATGCTAGCTTCCCTATAAAAGCAACAACAATCAATGATTATAATTGATTGACTTTTCAGTGTGTTTTTAACCTGATTCTTAAGAACTAGCTTCTTAATACATTATTAAATTCAAAAACTGTCTTGGGAGTGTCTGACTGTTTCATAGTGAAATATTTAAGGAGAATACTAGTAATAGCTGTGAAGAAAAGCTCCTAATAAGTCAGGGCAATGTAGGGATTTTTTTTATGTTGGTAGCAAAATACATTGCATTGAAATAAACTTAAGTAAACTTTGTGATGTGCAGGTATACTTTTGTCTATATATTCCACAGAAATTTGGTTTTTAATATAGTTTCTTGAGTATTACATATAATATTGGATGTTATTGACAAAGACAAGCATAATGAGTTGTGTAATGTATTGTTTATTTATTTGAAATCCATTCCTAATGTGAGCATTCCTTTTTTTTTTTGTAGTACATAAACATGTATTTTAAGTAAACTAAATGGAAACAATTTGGAATTGGATCTATAGGTATAGTTGTGTTCTAGATGATGAGGTTGTGCTATATTATTCTGTTGATCTCATATTTCTGTTCGGTTGACTTGATTACATTTTTGTTAGTTGTTACTTATGTTCAACTCTTATTTTACAAAGTGGGGCATATATACAATGTCATGTTTTCATTATTATTTAAATAATATATTTACTATAAGAAATCCATTCAATATTTTGCTATATACACAGGTATGCACCTACATGTGTATACATGTACATTAAGTATCCATTTTTAAGAAATCCAAGGAAAGGAAAGCAATTTTTCTCTACATATTTAAATGAAGAATTGAATGAACGGGAAACTTATAATGCATCTAAACACTGTATTCAGTTAGGTCTCTGAGACACAGTTTTTGTAGGATCTGTTGTTAAATCCAATATATGTTGTTTCTTCTTGTTATTGACAATTATGCAATTTGCGTGCAATATTTATTAAAAGTATGAAAATCTGTATTAAAATGTAGAATACTGTCTTTTAGTTTTTGATTTCCTGCAAGCTTTTGCAAGAATAATGTATGCTCTTGGCTGTAGTAATAGATTTATGCTAAGTAAATTTTGATACATGATTATTTGTATTTCAAGACCTCGCTTACAAATGATAAGAATGAGGTATCATAATACAGAAAGAGAAATGAATAAGAATGTGCCTACATATATTGAACATTCAGGTTCCAGGTTAAAGTAAATGAATCAGATTTCTTTTTAAGTACCTCTGTGTCCTATATTGATCAGAGGCTTCTAGTTTTATTGTAAGTAGTAGTCAGGTATCAGATGCTGCATTTTCAACCAATTGCAAAGAATGACAATGTTTTGGAGAAGTTGAAAGTTTTTGGAGCAGGTCTCATTTCCAAGTAACTATAAACCCTATATTGACCAAACTTGCAGGGATGATACGTCTGTAAGGATGCACACTACCAGAATTGCTCTGAATGCTGGGTCTGACCTACATTTTCGGAAGGCGTGACCAGGTTCAAGTTTTTGGAGAATCCCTAACTTAATCAAACCTGCATCAATGATCAATGTTGCATCTAGGGATGCACACCAGTGTGCATGCGCAAAAGTACAGGTTGTTGCTGTTTTATTGTACTCAACCCCCCCCCCCCCCCCAATTTCATAGCAGTTACAACGACATTGGGCAGTACATCGAAATTCTTACCTGAAGCATTTGCAGTTACCCAAACAGGTAATTTTAGACCAACATTTAAAAAGGTACTTTTTGGCATGAGACTGCAACTGGTGCCAAAGATGTCCAGTTTAGGTTCTAAGCTCCACTAAATTTTCACATGCCCACTGAGGTGAAGGTAAAGTTTGCGACTGATACTGCGTACATGGGCTGCTCTGCTTCCAACAGTCAAAGACAGATCTATTGATATACTCAAAAAGAAGAGCTCTTGAGGAGACATTGAAGGGACCCTCTTTCCTGATATATATGTCAAGATGCACGACATTTACAGTTGGTACCGCTGGACCGGTTGTACATGACGTACCTGACGTAATCCTCATCAATTCTTGTGGAACATAGAGCTGTCACAGTTATTCACCCTCTGACCCAGTTTTGAGCTGTTTCCTTGTTCTAATCTCGGTGGAGATTCGGCTCGGCCAGTTATTTGGTCGGTGAAGGCGTCGGACTAATATCTAGCCGAGCCGAATCTCCACCGAGATTACAGTTTGTTCCAAATCTCTCTCTTTCATCACTGCCCCCCCCCCCCCCAATCTCTGATTTTCCTAAGGATTCCTTTCTAGAGACTGATGAGGGAAGGTTTTTAAAGTGTGGCGTATTTCTTTCCATGTTCAGCTTTTACCCTGTGTCACTGCAGGTTCTTGGTTATCCTTATCCAGACTGAGAGCTTCCGTTTTTTTTTTGGTTATGAATTATTTGTCAGTCTTCGTACAGTCTTTATCACGTTGAAGATCTGAACTAGGATTCCATAATGTCAGTAGTTGTTTTTTTTTTTTTTATAAACTTCCTCTACTGATGATATTGAACACTTTTTCAAAAATTGTTGAAGTTGATATAAAGTGATTATTGTAATTCCACAGACTACTCTATAATTTTTTTGGTCCCAGCCACCAAATCCTACAAATGTACCGGAAACAATTCACTGTTAGGCATTTTGTTACATGATTCCTATGCAAAGCGTCCTAGTGGTATGGTTCTAGGCCACCAAATACTGTGGATATATTGTAGACACTTGTTCATTGAAAACGAAGATTTTCTTTTGAAGGCTTAATTAAATATAGTACTTAGGTTTCTGCACCATAAAAAAGACCCATTTCACTTTGGTTTTAGATATATTATGTTAATGCATGATCCTACTAATATACTCGGTAAGACAATGGAATGGCCTTTTCTTTATGTTTCTCGATCCTGCGAATGTTACATTTTCTGCATCGTTGGTTCTGACCCTTACTAACTTTATCTTCTAAGTATAAATCTTTATCCTCATCTTTTCTCTTTTTCGTCTGTTTTATCTTGTCTTTCATGTCTGTTAGAATGTGAATTAGAAGTGCAAGGTCTTCTGCAAAGTCTAGGTTGTCTAATCTCTTAACGAAGGGGCACTGAATTCCTTTTGCAATTATCAAAGCAATTGTCTTGTTCCCAGCCTACAGCTATCAGAATTGGTGCTGGTAATAGGGGCAACCTTATTTTACCCCAGTGTTTACAGCAAATGATTCTGTCAGAGTTGTGTTATGAATTATTTGTCAGTCTTCGTACAGTCTTTATCACGTTGAAGATCTGAACTAGGATTCCATAATGTCAGTAGTTGTTTTTTTTTTTTTTTTATAAACTTCCTCTACTGATGATATTGAACACTTTTTCAAAAATTGTTGAAGTTGATATAAAGTGATTATTGTAATTCCACAGACTACTCTATAATTTGTGGTCTGTGCAGATTCTGGTCGATCCTTATCCGGTTTGTTCGTTTCTCAAATTTCAATATTTCTCAATAATTTGTTTATTGCTTCTTTTATTCTATTCGAAATAAAACGATTTAGAACCTTGCTTTCTACATATGTATATGACGCCTATCACTTTTTGCAGAGATTATGATCTCCCTTCTAAGGTACACATGGCTTTATAATTATTCCTTTTTCAAATCGCTAGGGATACTTTCTGCTTCTCAAATATTGTTTATCAGTTTAATACCAACTGGTTTTCCATTTTTAAAAGATTTAATGCTAGTAGCTTTTTTTTTCAATCTGTTTTTGTACTCAGATCTTTCCCTGGGTAAACAGATATTTAGGGCTCTGGTCTTTGTCTATTTAGCACTTTGTTGAAGTGTTTGTACCATCTATCTAGACCTTTCCCTAGCTTTACCACATTTTTTTATTCCTAATTTTTCATTGGAAGTTGGCATTTGTAGATCTTTTCTTGCTCAAGAGTTTTTGGCGAGGTTATCTTACTTTTTAAAGTCTCCTCGATGGACCGCGCGCTCAATTTCCTTCGCAATCTCATTTACAAAGTTTCTTTTTTGCCTGCAGTTTTTTTTTACTATGTCTAGCCCTTAATATTTAGTTTGAAGTTTCCTTCTTATGCAATATTGGTTTCACAATATTAATCTTTTTTCCTTATCTTTCATTTTTAGTGACAACAGTTTTTTTTTTTCATTTTACCTATTATTTTTCTTCCTAGAATTTTTCCCATGTGTTTTGAAAATGTCTTGGTATGTATCCCATTCATCTATGGAAGACTTTTTTCTTTGGTATCTAGACTTTCAGTTCGATTCGTTGGTTGAATTTGAAATTCATCTTCGATTCGTAAGTATTTCCGTTTTTCAACATTGTACTTAATGCGCTTCTTTCTCAGTTTTGCTAGTCCTATTTTCAATTTCCCATTAGTAAATTGTATACTAAGTCTCAGTTTACATCTGCTTCTCGTTTTAGTCTTACATTACTGAGGTCCGAGCTTTTTCACCCTAGATCACTCTGGTTTTTCACAATCTATCTAGCTGGCGACCCCCATTTTTCTTTAAAGAAATTTATACGTGGGAACATGGAGCCTCTAATAACAAGTGCATTTTATTTCACATAAATTCTCCATTTTTATTTATGTCCTCAGATGCACCATGGCTTTCCTTTATATCTTCTATGTTTCTGTTGTCTTGGCCAATCTTTGCATTCATTTCACCCTTTAAGTTTTAAAATGTCGTTTCTTTCCGCCATTGAAGTGCATACAATTTACTCCTGATTGATTAATTATTAGAAATATTATATATTTATTGACTGGGTTCGGGGTAAACATGCGTTTTGTCGGACCCAAGAGCCAACTTGTTTGCCATCATTAGAACAAACTTGAAGTTTCTCAAATGCAATTCAAACTCCAAGGTCAAGGTCAAGGGATCAAAAATGTTGTTATCCAAAGAGAGGACCTGTGAAAATGGAAATACCTGGTACAATGTAAATATGGAAGCCCAAGCACCAACCATTCAAAAGTTATGGTCAAGGTTAATATTTTCTAAAAGTGGGTAAAACTCCAAGGTCAAGGGGTCAAAATAAATGGTATGCAATAAGAAATACACATGCAAAATATAAATGCCCTAGCACCAACTATTCAAAAGTTATGGCAAAAGTTAACGTTTTTCAAAAGTAGGACAAACTCCAAAGTCAAGGTCAAACATGTACCCAAGAGAAGGTCTTGTCACAAAGAATATACATTTGAAATATGAAAGCTATAGATCCAACCAATCAAAAGTTGTGGGCAATGTTAAAGTTTTTGCGGACAAACAGACAAATAGACAGACAGCTAGACAGACGGAAGGACAGGGCAAAAACTATATATCCCCGAATCTCCGATCACGGGGGCATAAAAATGTATACCAATCTAGGCAGGCATTTTTTTGTATCATCTGTCCTTAATCATGTTTATCTCGCTCATAAATACTAGAATTAGAAACTATCTTGAATCATGATTTAGAATTGCAAAATGTACTCGTAAGCGTAAGGGCATTATATGTAGGCAGTATATAAAAGTTAGATATTTATCGTAAAACGAAACTGAGGGGAATTTCCAAATCTAATTAAAGCACCTGCAAATTTCCGGGTCACAAATACAGGTAGTATAATAACAGGAAAAAAATGGCCGTCAACGTTATCAGTGCTTCGCCTGATATGTAAGTAATTCATAATCATAAAGCTCCAAAGATTTGATCACTTGATCATGGACAAATAAAGTTATGATGGCAAGTGATGGTGCCATTGGTGGTCGCAAACTTTCTTTTCCGAAGTGAAATAATCTATAAAAGTCTTTTTCATCAACTTCAATAGATATTTAATCCTTTTTTCTTCGGCTTTTTCTTTTGCATTGCAGGAGCTTTAAAGTAAATCTTTTTTTTTCCTGTATTGCTTGGACAAGTTATGATTTTACTGCTGCGTGCTATGTTTCTCAATGCTTACTCGATAAAACTATCGTTAGACTCATAAAAATGAGAAGCGTGTCTAAGTTTCTGTTAGTCACATTTTAGCTCACCTGAGCAAAATGCTCAAGCGAATTATCTGAAATCAATATTTATTCATTATATAAAACATTGTTGCCATTGTTTTCGCATGTCATCACCAGAAATTACGT